GTTAACTCTGCTATCCCCATCCATCAGGCAGCCAGTGAGGCATCAGGAAGGAATGATGGATGTAAAATTATTACAGGGCTGCCACCCGATATACTTACTGCCATTTGTAACTAACGCTGGAACTGACACACTTTTTTCATTATTAAACATCCACATTAAGTCAACATTGGTCACTGTCATTTCATGTTTGGCACTCTCTTAAGGGGCAGAGGGAGAGTTGGGGGTGGGATTGGGGAGGATGGTGGGAGGAGGGGTGAGTGGGAATGGGAGGGAAGACATCCTGAACCCAGTGTTCCATAAGCATGAGTAATAAATAGGCTCCTGCTTACAATGCTGGAATAAATATTGTTACAAATAGCTCTTTAGTTACAGCCCAGCAGACAAGTACATGTCAGAGCCTTTTAAAAGGACACACTCCAAGCTGTAACAGGGAGAAGTTGTATCACAGGTTAAGAAACACTTAGCACAGGAGGTGTGGGTAATGGGATGTACTCAGCTCAGAGGGCGACTGTATCCCTGCACATCTGAAACCCTTGGGTGGCTGTGTCCCTACACAACTGCCCAAGCTGGCAGCACCCTCACCAGCACGCACCAGCATTCAGAAACCAGGACTTGTGTTTGTACCAGTGTATATACACTGACACACGCTCAAGTGCCTGCCTTGTGTGCCCCCTTCCTCCTTTTGCAGTTACCAGGGCACATACATGGGTGCTTGAGAGTCTGACTGCAGTCAGAGATTTACTGGCTAGCGCAGTGCATGTTTGTGTTCTGCATCCCTGAAGGAGTGCACTGTAGGCTTGGATGCATGCACACACATGCTGGCTCTTTGTGTTTGTGTACAACTCCTTTGCAGAGGAACAGGCAGCTTTGGGGCTGAACAGATAGGCCAGAGATCACTTGCTGACGCTGCCTGTTGTGCTGTTTATACCAGCTGACAACCTGCACTCTAAGCTACATGTATAATAGGTAACATTGTTTATGTATAGTACATATCAAGCTATAATTAACTGTAGATGACAATTACAAATAAAACTATGCTCCCGGGTTTCCAAGAAACCAGAAAAACATATACACACACACACACGTCTCATTTATACACCAAAATGTTTCCAAGAAAAGTAATGTAAAAATATGTTTTATTGCATTTGCAATTAAAATAGGTTTTAGTAAAATCCATGTTCATCATGATGCTCATAGTTTTTACTGTAATCCTCTGAAAATCAAATCTGTCAAGATGGTCCAAGTTGGATGCCCACAAAGTGACTCACCCAAATCATCTTAGCCATTTAAAAAAATCTTCTCTTATTTATGACTCCTTTTATACAGTTTCTCTATAATTCCACAAAATTCCTGTCTGACTACTGCCTTAGCTGGCATGTCTGGCTGTCCATGGGGATCAACCCATATGAGAACACAAGCAAGATAACAGGTCATGTACATGTGAATGAAAAGCCCCAAGAGCTTTAACAGAGACTCGCAGAGGCGATTTGCAGCCTCAAACCTGCCCAGCTACCCCTGGCAGAAAAATCCCTACCAATCCCTACCATATACATGTTAAGAACTGCACAGAGCCCACCTCCACTGGTAGGCTGTAGTAGCATGCACGCAACAAAAAGCTCAAGAGGTCTCAGAAAAATCCAGAAATACACTAGCCACTTCCACAAGGAAGGGAGAAAATTTTGGGATTGCTCCAGATGGGTTGTTGCCTTTAAAGACTGAGGTCGCTCTACAGGAAGGAGAGTCTTTCTTCTGCATGTAACTACAGGCTTAATGTAAATTTCTACATTGTGCCCAGGAACACATAGATAAAATTTTTCATTCCATCCCCCATCTCAAAAATCTCCCAGTCAGGAAGTGATCAGCAAGCAAACATGATGTCCCAAAAGGTCAGGGGGCTGCCTCTAAGTCCCGTGGCAGGAGCTTGAGCTTCTGAAAGGGAAACCTTCAGTGCTAACACTGCAGCTCTATTTCTCAGTAACCACCTTCCCAACTATCTCATTTTCTTCCTCTGAAAACAAGGAAAACCAGAATAAAATTTAATTCAAAAGAAGTCCTATATCAAACAGACACAAACTTCAGAGAAGTTGGTGTGTTTGTCTGGATCTGAACTTCAGAGCTGGCTAGTCAGTGGAGAGCCTAGAGCATAAAAGAGGAAGGAGAACAAGTATCTAAACTTTACATACTATGTCCTTCCTCTCTGGGGTCAAATGTAAGAGACAGACCAGAAGACCCTACAAGTTAAAAAGTGCTTAGTGGTTTAAGTGGTCACCTCAGCAACTTAAATGCCATTACAGTCTAGCAGGGCTCAGACTTGGCTCTGTCCTTTCCCATCTTCACTTTAAAAATAGAGAAAATGAAAGAAAATTGAATAAAATTAATCATGGAATCACAGAATCAATTAGGTTGGAAAAGACCTCTGAGATCATCAAGTCCAAATCAGTGAGCCTCAATAAAGTTTTGGCATTAATTTTATTAAAACACACAAAGCATACAGTTGCTTTAGAAAAATTTTCAATTGAGCAAACAATTTTTTCTTCCCGCTACCTTCTAAAAGAACTCGTCTCTGCTCTCCACGAGCCCACCAGGAGGCATGAATTAGAGAGGAAAATAAACTTCAACTGGGGTTGAGGGTGAGAAGTGAAAACAGAAGGCTAAGGAGGATCCCAAGAATAGGAAAGTAACGGAATAAAGTGAATGCAGATGGTTCCACTCCTGTTACTTAATCAAAAGGCTGTGCAGAGTCACTAGAGCCAGCATAAAGTCATGTGTTAGAACAACAGCTGATCTGTATTAAAGAAGATTAACTCGCAATGCCATGGTGGAGGGCCTGGGATTATTTTATGTGCTTCCACTGCCGAACAAGCCGTCAGCACAATTACTGCCCTCCGATGTGAATGACTGATCTGTAACCACAGCTAAACAGCATGCTGCTTAGGGGCCTGGGTGCTTCATGAAGATGAATTTCCATACCATCAAAGTGCTTTTAATGGGCTTCCTGATCCAACCACAAGGCCTGCTTTGCAAGTATACAGAACTCAGGATGAAGGCTTCCTGTCCAAAAGGATTTGGTCGGTTGTCACTTGACAATTCCCAGCCAGCACAAGGGAGGAGAGGGGGGAGATAGGTAGAGTTGTCTCTGCTTTGGAGGATTAAAAAAAAAAAAAAAAACAACACAGGAAAAAAAAAAAAGAAAAAGGAAAAAAAAGGGTACAGATGCTTTCTGAATGCAACCAACTGCTGTATCCACAGCTGAATTCAATGCGCTTAACAAATAACGGCAATTTAGCTATGCTTGCGAGGAATAGCTTGAGTCACTTTGCATTAGCATCTGGCTGAGTGTTAAAGTCATTTCTACATGGGGAGCAGAGAAAAGGAATTTCTGCTCCGAGCATCCTTTCAAGAATGCTTAAATATTTGAATATAAATTCCTTTGTGCTTGTGATCACTTCTTCTTATATCTGACACTCTGCTTTTCCCTTTTCCCTTCTGGTACTCTTCTATGTGAAATGCCATAAACATGCTCCATCCCTCTCTTTCTTTCCCTCTCCCCATACCAGCACTCTTATTCTTCTAAGAAGATACCTATTACCCTGACCTCTTTTATCCTTCCCCTTCCTCCCAAGAAAGTGCATGAAATTGGAGTCATTTCTACATCACTTACACTCAGGACAGGCTGATGAAAAAAGTACAGTGGTGAGAGACTCACATGTACGTTTAACATTCATTACCCAGGCTCTTGGCTCCTCACAGCTTATTGATCAAACTCCATCTAAAAACAGGGAAAATGGAAAGCTATCCAAATTACCAATCTGCTCATTCTGGACAATACTGTTTGACTCACAGTCTTCCTAGGATGACTGAATTTCAAGTTTCTGCTAAATAGCTGATCATTTTTATTCCATCTATTTTTCTGCCTACCTCAGTGAATCGCACAAGACCTTAGAGTGCAAAGCCAGTCAAAGTGGTTTCACTAAAATGCAGTTGACACCAAATGTGACAATGGAGATCCTTGTGGTGCTGCACAAGGATGGATGTATCACCCCAGAAAATACTGAAGCAGAAGAGAGGAACTGAGGAACGAGTCCTGCTAAGCATACGATGCTGAGATGCACGCAAGCATTTGGATGTATATCTTAGGTGGCAGAATTATAAGGACAGTTCACTATAAATGTGGCAGCGAGGACTGGCAGGTCTATTTATCCTCCATAAGCCAGGGCAGCGCACGGAAAGACATCAGGTATTTCCAGAGAAAAGCTGCAAATCACAACCTCACTGACATACAGGACAGTTACAGCGCATACAAATTTTTCTGGAGAATATTCACTTTGTTGGTATTTTGTCATAATGCAGCTTCACAGGCCAGTCCAAAAGCAGAAGGTGGTAAGGTCCATACGTTCTGCTGCCTCTAAGTTTCACTGAAAATATTTGGTGCAGTTTGTGTTGTCAATTCTCTGCTTTTTCGATTTTGTTAAGTCATCTAACGTGACATGACAGTGCTACATTGCAGTGGTCACAAAATATCATATATGACAACCTCACAAGGCTAAATACCCAGAAGCTGAGCCTGAGTATCAGCAAAGCTTATGTTCCTAAAGAAGCTTGAATATTTCAAATCTAGCTCATCTCACAAACACATGTAAGCATTTCCATAATGCAAGATTTCCACTTAGACCCAGAGATTTCCAAGATCACCTTCTCTTAATACACGCTGACAGGCTGGAACAGAGAATTAGTGGCCTCCAAAGTTCTTGTGAGGGCTTTAACTATCTCTGCCTCCTCCCCACTCTCCCCCAGGGGTCTCCACATCTCTCTCTCATGTCATCTTTTGGTTGTGGTTTTCATTTTGCTTTTCACTTCTTTTTGAACTATTCTGTTTAAAAATGGGGAAGGAAAACCAGAGCAAGAAAAAGAAGGAAAGGAAAGGAGGAAGAACCTAGGTATCTGTAGGGAGAGCCAAATGCAATCTCTGACCCCTTGCAAAGGGAGTCTCAGAAACTCACCTTTTCTGTCCTGCAGTTGTTGAGACCCAGGCTGTTCACAACGGCCACCTTCCCATCCAGCACCTGCTGCTCCCTCCGAAGTTGCTCCTTCATCTGTCGGGCCTCCTGGATCGCCTTGGTAACAGCATCGTGGTCATTTAAATAACCTGACGACGTGATAGAAGAAAGGATGTCTTAAAAAAAGAAAGTTACAAGAAAACACTTTAGCTTTCATCGATGAAACGCGCGGTTTATCGTTATTAATTGGAAAGAGTTAAAAAGCAAGGCCCAGAAACTCGTTCCATGCTTTGTAATTCTGTTGTTGTTATGATAGAGCCACCTGGATAGAAAGAATGAGAAACCTCGGTGCCAAAATCATCCTTCCTGCTATTTGATCCCATTAGTTTCAATATTTCCCTGACACTGCAGAGGTTAGCCCTGTGGTTTGTATGCAGCAGGATGTAACCGGATAAGAGTTAGGGGAAGCTTTGATCATGCCAGCAATCCCAAACTCTTAAAAATAGACCATTTCATTCTTCCCCTTCTTAAAACTTGTGAATACATTAAAATAAACCACAGGTGGCGGTGGTTTGCTATAGATATGAAATGCATAATGGCTGGAAAGAGAAACCTCATCTACCGAATGCTCCCCACCACCACCTGTCATTCACAAATGTATAAGAAACCACAGCTACACGGACCTACATTCCCACTCCTATTCATGCTGCTAATAGTAGGTCAAATGTCCACTGTTTTGCTGCAAATTCACAGCCTAGGGCTTAGCCTTAGTAGTCACTGAATTATTTCCTTTTAAAATGTTACAAGCATCACCGGCACAGCTAATACTATTTAATTTTAAATGTGACACTTTGTCATTTTTTTCCTTTAGCGTACTGTAGATTATACTTATTATGATCTGCATGTGATTTGTAGGATAGAATACTGATGGGAGACTCCAAGCCCCAGTCTATTTTTCAAACATTAAAGGAGAGGCTAATATCTATCAATCTCCCTCCCCCTCTCCACATCCCCACACGTGTGCGCACGCACACACTTCTTTCTGTCTTTTAACTAGGGCATAAAAACGGCATAAAATGAATCTGTAATATGAAATTGCCCAGAAAAGGGACTTCTGTTTGTGACATGAGGCTAAATCTAACCAGATCCATTGGTGAATTGTGACAGATGGAGGGACTGTGAGACAGAAGGCAGGCACTAATCACACACAAAATGACCGGCTTGCCTCAACATGTTCCATGGATTCCAGCAAACTTTACACCCTAATCCATTTTTAGAACAAAAAACATCTGGGCCATAAATCCTCTAATCTGCCAAAACACGCTATTAAATCCCATGATTTGTTGAAAAACACTAAGATTAAAGAAAGGAAATATAAAATGGCTAACTGCCGTGTTAGGAAAGTGTTATTAATACTCTTTCTTTGTCTCAATTATGAATGTTCTGTTCCTAAAGAGCCTTGTCTAATCATGTCAGATTACACATCCTTGTTGTATTGCTAGACTCTTCTATCTGATCCACTGATTGCCAAAAAACGTAGGACATTGTCTTGCTGCTTAAAACATTTCAGGGGAAGAAGCTGATGTCAGATTAGTTCAGTGCTGTGCTGCTGTCAGGATTTTAGTTTGGTTTGGGGTTTTATTGTTTTTTTAGACTGCAGACAGAATGGGACTGGTATTCCCATTTTCCTCGGAGTGCAAAAACTAGAAAGAAAAGTTTCTGTGCGGTTTGACTGCTGTTAATTGTACTAACAGTTAGCTTTTGGCTAAATCCCCAGGAACCCTGAGAGTTTTATATGAAATAACTCAATTCACATTGCTTTTATCAAATGACCCAGTTCAGTAATTCCCAGCCAATGGAATTCCAGTAATTCCAGCTTTCCCGGCATAAGGAAGGATATAGCCTGCACCAGCACAGAGCTACCAGCTGATTTTTTTTTTTTTTTTTTTTTTTTTTTTTTTAAAACCTCCATTTTATCAACTTGCTTGGTTTCTTCCCCAGTTTGCATATGTTACTGATCAACCTCGCATGTAGTCTGAATAAATTAAAAAGGAAGCAAACAAACAGTAGTATTAGTGCTGGTTGTGCTCTTGATTAGAGTAGGTATAATACTTTCAATGTGCAACAGAGCCGAATTTGCCTAGGAACTGGAATTCATGCCCTTCTCCAGACTATTTGGCTTTTCCTGAATACTGCTATCTTTGAGACAGTTTGGCACATGACAGTGAATAAAAGCAAGCACTCCTTATGTTTTTCAGTAGCTGCCAAGATGCTGGTGTGCAGGGAAATGATTAATATAGAAGCGACTTGAATGTAAATTATTGTTGTTTAGGGTAGGTGGTGAATTACTGACAGAGAGGGGAACTGCATTACATAAAATGCACTTAGTTACAAGGATTGCCAAACTAGCACAGAGATGTTGCAGATAATGGCAAAGAGCAGAGAGAAGTTGTTTCTGTTTTTAGTACACGGACATATGCCTGTTCCCAAAAAGAAATGCTTGGATTTAAAGTCATACATGAAGCCACGACATTTGTGACTGCTCAGTCTGTAGCACAATTTATATGCTATAAGGATAGCTCTGGAAAGGGCTGTGTATCCGTATGCCCGAGTGCAGCTATGCTGTTAATCACTGAGGCTCCAAGTTTACGTCCCTCAAAGAGAACTGAACAATACCCGAGCGTTTCTCCACGCCATGGGAGCTGAGGGGCCTGAAAGGACTGCTTTTGGAGAACAGTTCTACTTTGAAGTTACTGGTGGTGAAAAGTGACAGATCAACTGCATCCCAGCAAGGTGGGCTGTGCACACCTAGGACAGACAACTTGTGCCTTGTGTTGACAGCTCCAATCATTCAAATGGTGAAGGCAACTGTCTAGGAAAGGACTCGAGTGTTTCCCAGCGAATTTTTGTAGAGGGACTTATCGCTCAAGATAAGAATGTGATCCAGTTTCTCTACCATTTTAAGGACCGTAGTACCTTTGCTAAAAATGCTATCAAGGTTTTTTTTGTGGTGTAGCTCCTGCTGGAGGGTGACTTGAAATTTCACGCTCCCTTCAAGATCATCAAATGGTTTCATTACAGTAACGAGTTCAACTTGTTTAACTTTTGTTGGATCTGACCTAGCAGTTAGCAGGAGAAGACTCTGTAGGGTCTTCAAAAGCCTTTTCTTCTTCTAGTCCTACATTAAAGGATAAACCTTTGTTAGAAGTACATTATGTCTGTCCAGCTCCTGCACCAGTTAAAGACAGCTTATCTTATATATACAGCATGCACAGTGATACTGCACAGCAACCTCAAAAAGTCACTTTCTATATTTGTAGCTGAGAGATATACAGCAGTGAACTCTATGTCATTAACAATAACTTAAGTATGTTATCTTTTGCTCCACAGTTTTCCATGGTTTATTAATGGTATAACACATTAATTCTTCTTACAAGAGTGACCTTTAAAGCTCTGTTCATCCTCACAGCTTTTATCCAATTACATTATCACTCATTACAGGTACAGCATTTCAAAATCTGCATCTTGTTAAAAGAAGTAAATTGCAGGGGTCTCAAACCTATGAAAAATATCAGGTGTGTAGGGAAAGAAGATTGGAGAGGAGAGAACAAGAGATGTCTTGCCACTGAGATGTGGGTCAGATGCTTAACTCCCCATCTAAATGTGATGTTCGCTCTGCTTAAGGACAAAAAATCTAATGTGAAAAAATTGAAACCCCATGCATTGTGCATGGAGAGCAGCAGGGTCAAGCAAATTAAAGATGAAATGCATTACTACCTACCACAGTTAAAGAGTGCAGGGTTAATAAAAAAAGAGGTGCTAACAATTAGTAATGTCATATTTTAAAAATATTTCCACAGTCGTAATGTGTCACACCAAATAAAGTTTACTGCATAGCACTGCTGTATCACAAAAACAGCTTCTGATAAGTTTGACCTATGGCTTCTTTTAGTTTTTTTGTGCCATCCCTGAAAGTGGCCAGCAGGAGATGCTTTAGAAGAAACACAGAAAAGGTACATCTACCTCCTTTAATTCCGAAAAGAGAGGCTGATTTACGTACTGAAATCTTAATTCAGGTTATACTCCATCACTTCATGGAATAAATTATTTCAGTTACAAGGATGAAGAATGGGGGGTGGACACATTTTTCTTATATACACAAAGGGCAGTCCCTTTGACATATCAGATGTGTAAAATCACCACTAACATTGTTACTATTTAGATGGTCTTTGGGCAAAGATGTAATTTTGGCAGGAGTAAGAAATATCACTGTTTTCTGGAACAATATTAAAAACAGCCAGTCAAGACTTTTTGCAAGATACAACATCAAATTTGGATTTTTTTAAATGAACATGGTAATTGTTTTGCTTATTACATCAAGGTAAAATAATATTCCATGCAGCTTTTGAGCAGACTAAGGATTAAACCTGTAATTTTGGAAAGATGTAACTTTTAAGGATGTTTTTGAAAGTTTATCCATTGCTTTTAGAGGACATAGTATAATATCACGGGTCTGTAATGCCCATCATTAGACAAGTCACTGTTTTTAATGCATGCCATCAAACAAACAGCATTTATTAACTTTTATTGGTAAAGCAGTATCTGAAATAATACAGGTCTTTGTTTTCTGAGCCTGTAAAAGCTCAGATACCCCTCCTGAAAGGTAAGTCTCTCTGAGTTTCTTCGCTGACATCAAGCAAATGTAGTGTAATGGTCAACCTATGACAGCTCCTAGACCACTGACTGATAAATGCCCACTTCCCATTTACACCTATGAATCATTATGAGGAGGGACACACAAGGCTGAGCTTACCTATTGTGTTAGCTCTGGCCGAAGGACTAGCTAACGTTGCTGGCACAGAGGACTTTAGCGAGCTGGCCCCACTATTTATTCTCAGAGTTGGCATATGAGGAGAGGTGGGTGATGTGGGAGACTTGCCATCAGATGTCTTGGGTTTGGCTGAAAGGTTCAGAGGCTGGGCCACTTCATCCTACGACAAGCAGAAGAGAAAAGAATGTTAGTACAAAACTGCTGTTGGCACGACACCGTCCAAGCAACGACAGCTGTTTTCAGCTCATATGAACTTCTAAACCTGAAAGGTTGTATGATATATATGAAGATCAAATGTGATATCATCTTGTCACTCCAGTTCGGAACTGAAATGACTGATAAACTGGAAAATTAGCATGACATGATCAGAGAACATCGTCCATTTGCACTTCGGATGAGAGTTGTCTCGGAAGAAATTATTCCCATCAACAAGATATATGCTTCTATCATGAAAATTAAGAGCAGTTTTCCAGTTATATTTCTGTTATTTTATTTTAAATGTTATACTCCTTAATGAAATAAGAATTGAAGAGCATATTCACTTAAAATTGAACCACCACCATCCAAACTGGGCAAACGTGTTTAAGTGAATGGGGTTTCCGTTGGGTTATTTTGATGGTCCTTTTTTTTGTGTGTTTTGGTGGGCTGGTTGGTTTGGGGTTTTTTGTTTTGCTGTTTTTTAACTTGTCCTTTCCCCTGCACTTCCCAGGCTTAGAATTCCAAGCACAAAAATATCATAGGAAATAAACACTTCACCTTAATGAGAAAGCAGAAGAAACTTGTCCTTTCTTTCCACAAAATCTGAAACAATAACCTGGATAATTCTGCATATAGCCATAGATGTTTTCCTCTTCTGCAAAGTTGAACTTTCAGATTTCAGTAATTATTATTATTATGTCAAAATAGAAAAATTGGGTGACATTTTTTGCAGGGTAACTGGAATTATTCCTAAACCTGGCTTGATTACACAGAGTGACAGACAGTGCTATAAAACACATTAAAATTCTAAGGCATGTTTTTTTGTTTGACCAACATAAAATACAGTGAGGGGAAAAAAAACAGAGAAGGGAGAAAAGGTTTTTCAACGAGGGGGTATTTTAGAAGTTATTTTAGCTGACTTTTAAATAGCCAGAACTAATGAATATGGTATTAGATCAAATCATCACATAATAGCTTAGCTCTTCTCTGACACTGTGACTTAGGAAAATCATCCTTTAGCTACAAAATATGTTATATCAGACAACTGGGTTTCAGCTCTAGGCACTGAAGAAACTGATTCTGATCTCTCTAAACTGTAAGTACATCTAGTTTTATAGAATTATTCCTGACTTACAACAATGCAAAGCTGACTGGAATTAGGCTCGTAATGTTTGAGTGTTTTACTGTTATCACGAAGGTATCTCTGACTACTATCATATAACACTGATTCTTTTCCACAGAGGGTGGTGTGCTGCAGTAAAGAAGGAATTTTATAGTTGCCTATTGCTTGTGGAAGTATGATGTAGATGTACGTCTACAAACACAAGACAATTCTGCAAAGCACCGTCATATAACTTTTCCATTGCTTAAAGAAGCAAGCTCTAAGCAAAGCACCTTTGTTATATTTGATTATTTCTACATAGTTTTGGAACAGTCATAGCAGACAAACATATCAGAGGCATAATGGACAAAGGTGTCATCCTTAAAGTGGTGTCTAAGTCACCCTCGTGCATAAAATAAATGGGAAAAAAATTAACGCATAAAATTTGTATTAGGAGCTTATATTCTGTATTCTCAGAAGTGAACTAGGCACCTAGAAGGCAGACATTTGTTGATCTTTTAGGAGACCTAAGCAGCAGGGTTAAAATGTTACGAGCACAACCAGCATTTGACATTTTAAGAAGGGACTCATTACTTTACAGAAATATTAAACCATTGTATTAAATAGGTAAAAATAAAGATAAAATCAAATTAGAATAAAATAACCTACTGACCAAATGGAAGGGGGGCTTGCTCTGCTGTTCACCCAATTTCAATTAAAAAACCAAAAAAATCCCAAAGCAGTGAACTCTAATGTTGTGAAATCAGTACTGAGAGCGTTGCATAAAAGTTTTAAGTACAAATGAGCCAATAAACCAACTGAACACAGTGACCCTGTGCCAGACAAGGATCTCTGAAGAGCAAAGTCATCTATCTGGAAGACAGCATCAGAAGCAAAACCAACCTGCCCACAGACTTGTTTCGGTTCAATCCAAGAGGGTTTAGTTTCTATGTACATTCAATTCTCGACCTCAGTTTTAAGTCTCAAGAAAAGGGACTGATTAATGTCAGAAATGGTAGTAAAACCTGCAGTGTGCTCTCTGGCCACTGGAAATCTGACCAAGAGCAGCACCAATCCATAGGGAGCAGCAGCCAGTTAAGGATGGGAATGGGTATCACTCGCTGCAAAGGCAGCTTGGATTCCAAACGGCATCCTCATGTTGAAAGGTTTTTTTTCAGTCTCATCCTTTTGCCTCAATCCCTCAGCTATCCTATCCCTATAAAGTTTATTTCCTTGCCTCCTCTTGCTCCTCCTTAGTTCCCTTTTTTTTTAATCCTGGTGTGAAGGCAAGGTCTTGTACAAGTCCACTATAGAAGAGTGGTTTTGGTCTCATTTAATGTGAGTTAGAAATGGGGGAGTTGGTTTTTTCCATTGTAAGCATCCAGCAATGAGGCTGTCTGTGCTGTAACTATTCTTGGTAGTAAGAATGCTCTTCTTCATTCAAGTCAGCACAGCCGTTTCTGGAGCCAAGAAATACAAGGCCTTGTGGAAATAATAGAAGTCGACAGTTCCAGAGCTGATAAATGTCATTCCAAATTGCCCCTTCATTCACTTTCATTGTGTGTTCAGGCTAATGGTAAATTAATCGGAGGTCACAGAAGCTTGGTTCTCATAAAGGAGGATAAGTAAACAATTTTCAGCTATTTTATGTATTTACCAAAATGATATTACTTCAGTGTTTGGTCTTCATAACATTTTTACTTCTGTTATTTCAAAGAGCATTCTCAAATCCTCGCTGGAAGTCAAATGCATTAAAAATTCAGTCAGACAGTTTAGAAATCCTACGTTGCATCATGAGTTGGTAATAATTTAAGTAATTTCCTTTACCACAGTGGAACTACACTGATTTATTCCAAAAGACTCTAAAAAACACCTGGGAGACAGGTAATAACATACAATTGTGTTAAGTGTGAAGATGACTGTCAGGATGTTCACTCCTACAGTTGGGTGAAACATTTTATCCTTTTTCCTTCCTGCAGCCATAAATTCAAAATCCTCTGCTCTTGCAGTTTAAATCAAGAACTGTCTTCATTATGGATCTGAGCCTGCATAACCACAAGAAGAATTAGGTGCTCGCCTACCTTTAATTTTTAACTATAAAACCTCCCATTTAACATTTTGCCACATTACAGATTAGCAAGCTTCACTTTCAGTTATATCAAGGCTGTGTGTAAGTGCAGCATGACAGTCAGGGCAAATAGGAGAAACAAAAGAAATAAAAATACCAGTAGTATCTTCACTTCAGGTAGATGGTATCTTTCAACAGCCAGGAGATTTGTTTTTATGCAGTGGGTCACAGCATCTAGAACTACTCCCTGCACTTAGTTTTTATTAGAGAAAGTACTGATTGTTCCCTGACTTTTTTTGACATGCAGTTATTCTAAGGTGCCGTTGATAAGGGCTTTTTCTCCCAAGCCAGTATTTTTTAAAGAGTTAAAGTCAAACGTTCATTTATATATCAGCCAAACTGATTAATCCTTAGACCAAAGGATTTTAAGACTCAAAAGGCTTGTAATAATATAAACACATGTGATGAAAGTAAAATATGATTTTGATTAAAGGTTTTGAAACGTCTTTTTTAAAGTAGCACATTTGTCTAACAAAACAAAACACACACACACACAAAATAAATGTAGAGAGTAAAGCATAAGCAAAAACACATGAAGGAGGGCTAATAAAATGAAGTACCCATAGCAAGAGCAAAGCATTAGTAAAGAGATTCCCATCCCCCGTATCACAGCAGTGTCAGAACAGTCACTATTCTAGGAAGAGCTGGTTTACTTCCCAGGACTGGGAAGCAAACTTCCCAGGACTGGAAGATTGTCATTAACCAAAACTTGAGTTTGGGGAATTTTAAATCCTTGATTTGCTCTAGATTTTTTTCCCAGATGATCCCTAAGTATACGATGGAAGAAAGAGTAACCCTTCACCTACACCAGAATTTGGGGGGTAAGTAAAATATTCAAGAGCTGTGTTTTGTAGCTTCGCTCATCCTGAATTAGTATAACTCTGAGCTGTCATATTTAAGCATTAGACACAGGAAATCTCCAAATGTAAGTGCCTGACAAGCAACATGTAAACAGAAATACTGCTGGCAAGTTGAGTGTGCATCACACTGCTTTTATAAGGTTTGTATGGTCCTTTGAAAAGGTAAAATGCTAGGTTAACACAAAGTGCTTATTAACATGGGAGGAAAAAATGAAAAAGAGGGAAAAGGAAAGGATTTGGCCACAGTCCTACAGTAACTTAGCGGCAGAGCTTCAGACAGACCCAGGAATTCTGACTCACAGTCACCACTCTAGAAATAGTTGGCTGAAATGGTGTCTTTTCTAATCTTTCAATCATGCTGTCTCTGTTTACTTCCTCCTCAGATAAAAGGTTAATTTATCTCTATGAAGATAGATACGGAAAAAAAAGGGAATAAAATCAGATTTTGAGAAACTCTCTAAACCATTTATTAAAAATGGCACTATTTCAACACCAAGAGCTAAATAAATGACAGATAGTCCAGATGAATGAACTAGTCTCGGAGAATGAAAAAAAAAAGAGGAAGGATGGGGAAGAACCCAGACAATTCATTAGGATTTGATAATCTCACTCCTTTACACATATTTTAAAGATTAGTGGACTATTAAAATACAGTAACTGAATTATTGTACTGTCATTTAAATCCGAGTGCTGTATCCCACTGTGGCACACACTGAAGGTCCAGGTTGCACGGTTTATTACAAAATCATGAACTACCCTGTGTATCATCTGACTGGCAATACAAATGTGCTTAAATGACCTGGCATAAGCACAGCCCAGCCTGCTCTGCTAAAGAGGCTTTTCATGACCTCTGGGAACAGATTCACCACATC